CCCCCCCCCCCACTTCCTCCGGAAAACAAATTTTAATGCTTTGAACAATATAGTGAAAATATAATGTTTAAAAAAATAATAATATATATTTTAATTTTTATTACTCTTTTAATAAGATTAGCGAAATGTTTTCAAACTGTGGGTGCTGGGTGGCCTACTTGTCTAAATTAGGAGTGAGTCGATCCCAAGCTTTTCGTCTGGAGATCGAGTCCCACGAAAGATCCAGCCAAGCAAACATATCACTAACAACCCCGGTGGATGGGACTTGATAAACCCTAAATGGTGACTCATCTAAGAGAAGGAAACTGAAAAGAAAAATTTCGACAACCCCTGTGATGCTACTGGTACCAAGCTGTTTAATCCACACATGATGTTACCATGTGCACTGCCATCTTGCCCCACAACTATGAGACTAACTTTTTTTAGAGGCATCATACTTCACATAAATATCGTTAATGACTATTGAAAGTTTTGGTAATGTAATTTGATTTAAAAGTCAGTGAACAACATTTTTCCCAATTAAACCAAAGATATTTTCGGCAACTTGCAAAATTAATATTTGAAATGCGAATCACATGTTGGATATTTCTTAAAGGGTATTAACTCTCATCAAAAATAGTACCATCTTCTAGAAATATGAATGGATAAAGTAAGAATGTGTGTTAAAATTATGTTAGACAAAGATGTTAGTCCCGGTCGGTAATAACCTTAGCTACGCCACTGCTCAGTAGTTAAATTAGTGGAGCAAACCTGTGCCGTCTTAACTTGAGGCATTGGCGCACTGCGCACTACCCCAAGGGTATCATGTCTCGGGTGACCAAATCATGATTTGTAAAAAACGGGACGCTTTCAAGGACAGTTGTTTTTTGTGTGTATTTTTTTTTTTTTTTGGGGGGGGGGGGGGGGGGGGGGGGGGGATACCCTCGAGCTAAAGAGAGGTCCGGGGGCCTCCACCGGAAACTCTTTATTGAAATATGCGCATTTTAACTATGAAATCTAACCTAGAAATTGACTTGGGGAAATCAGTCTTTTCCTATATTTCAATGATGTGATGTGTTGTTTTATGTCTTAACGTCCAACATGACCAATATTAAAAACATTATTGCAAACTGTGCACTCGACTTCACTTTCATAGCGTCGCTTTGTAATATAGTTCCACTCTTTGGTATACTCATCCATAAACTTACATTGATGCTTGGGCATAATTATTGTTCTAATGACAAGATAATATAAAATTAAAGAATAAAGTTCAACACCTAAAACAAACAACTGGCACGAACAGGCCTGCTGGGATCACAGATAAGAGTAACACATACTATAGCGGTATTGGAATTAAAATTGTTCTCTGCACAGCTACATCTCCCCCCACCTTTTTCCCTTTGCGGCTTCAAGTCTCGTGTCTTTCGCTATACATTTACATATAAGATCTTTGGCAGGGACACTGGTGGAGGGGAACAGTGCAGCCATCACACGAGCCCACATCACTACTGGCACCGGCTACACAGCCAGCTAGCCAAAATATTACTTAAAGTTACAATGTAAATGAGGAAGTTTTAGTGATTAGAAAATGTATTTGGTTTAAAAAACGGGACATTTAGGTGTCCCGAGAGACTTTTTCGTGACAACGGTTACGATCGTGAAAAAACGGGACAATCTCATTTTTACAGGACGTTTTGTCACCCTAAGCCTCTTAAGGCTCTAGGGCTCCTGGCTCTTCTTACCGTTTCTCCAGTATATTGAAACAAGTTTTTCGATTCTCACATCATTTCAATTTTTTGGGTACCGGCACTAGTTAGTAAAACCCGTTTCTTTTGATAAATTATCCAAATGAAAAAAATACATACATTATTTTCTAGGGAAGGGAAGCTAAGGGGGGGGGGGGGGGAAAAATCAAAGTATTAAAATAAGTGTCAACATTAATTATTTAGTAATTTAAATGAAAAAATGGGCGCCCGCGGGGGGGGGGCAGGGGGGTCCCGGATTGATTGGATAAAAAAATTTTAGACAAAAAATTTATTAAAGTAAAGAGGAAATAAAGAGAAAGTAACTGAGCGGATGTCCTGTCCGTTCGTTCACCATACAAATATGCTACAGTAAATTAAAACTACATTAAAACATTACTAAAAATTTCTTCCTCCCCCCCCCCCCACTTGAAAGTTTTCTACGGGCGCCCATGTTTCTTTACTTCTTTTAAATAACTTTTAGATACAATTTATTATTTTTAAAATGACCTGTTTTAAATAGCCATACAAATAGACCTTTTTCTACAAAACAGTATTTTTGTCTAATTTTTTAACTGTAAATTTTTGGAAAACCTACTTAAGTTTTAAATTAAATCCAAAATGAAAATTCTTAATCTAACATACTAATAGATTGATTGCCTTTTTTTTTTTTAAATTAAAATAAATTAGCAATCAAATGTTGTGACCGGATTAAAAAGAATAATTATTTTATTAATTCATTGATGTTTTAGTTATAAATCTCTCACATTGCTCTACATGTTATAGCTTTCTAATTCATACAATACTATCTACCCCGTCTTTTTGCCAAAGACCACTAAAAAACACACAGCCTGTGTCCCGAAAATGTATGACTGTCATTCCTTTGTGCTTCAGGGCTATATTCAGGGCAGGACTAGGATACTAGTTCAAATGGTCTCCCAGTTTTGTGGACTGGGGCAGCCATATGAACTTAGGTAGAGCCATAAAGGATTGCTTGTTAATACTGTCATGAAATCGTATTTTGGTGACCGTGTTCCAATAACCGTATTTAATCCTTAACCAAATGTCTCGTAAATAAGGGTGGAACATCTGAGCTGACTCCCCTCCATTTCTCAAACAAATATTATATTACTTTTCATCACTTTGAAGCGTCCTTAGATAGACATAATATCTTAGGGGTATCCTCCAGTTCTGCCTGTCTGTGGCTGCGCTCTCAAGGTCTCTCCGATTCCTTCCCATCGCTCTATACTCTCTTGTTAGGTCATTTCTCCGTGTGTTAGTTACTCCTCTCTTGCCCCTTGTATGTTCCATGCTTTTGTCTTCCTAGAGATGTTGAAAGGCCCTGCTTGTGTGTTCCATGCTATTGTCTTCTTGGTGATATTGAAAGCCCCTGCTTGTGTGTTCCATGCGATTGCCTTCCTAGGGATGTTGGAAGGCCATGTTTGTGTGTTCCATGCTATTGCCTTCCTTGTGATGTTGAAAGCCCTTGCTTGTGTGCTCCATGCGATTGCCTTCCTAGGGATGTTTGAAGGCCCTGTTTGTGTGTTCCATGCTATTGCCTTCTTGGTGATATTGAAAGCCCTTGCTTGTGTGTTCCATGCGATTGCCTTCCTAGGGATGTTGGAAGGCCATGTTTGTGTGTTCCATGCTATTGCCTTCTTGGTGATATTGAAAGCCCTTGCTTGTGTGTTCCATGCGATTGCCTTCCTAGGGATGTTGGAAGGCCATGTTTGTGTGTTCCATGCTATTGCCTTCTTGGTGATATTGAAAGCCCTTGCTTGTGTGTTCCATGCGATTGCCTTCCTAGGGATGTTGGAAGGCCATGTTTGTGTGTTCCATGCTATTGTCTTCCTAGGGATGTTGGAAGGCCCTGCTTGTGTGTTCCATGCTATTGTCTTCCTGGTGATGTTGGAAGGCCTTGCTTGTGTGTTCCATGCTATTGTCTTCCTAGGGATGTTGGAAGGCCATGTTTGTGTGTTCCTTGCTTTTGTCTTCCTAGGGATGTTGGAAGGCCCTGCTTGTGCGTTCCATGCTTTTGTTTTCCTAGGGATGTTGGAAGGCCCTGCTCGTGTGTTCCATGCTATTGCCTTCCTGGTGATGTTGGAAGGCCCTGCTTGTGTGTTCCATGCTATTGCCTTCCTGGTGATTTTGGAAGGCCTAGCTTGTGTGTTCCATGCTTCTGCCTTCCTAGTGATGTTGAAAGGCCCAGCTTGTATGTTCCATGCTATTGTCTTCCTGGTGATGTTGAAAGGCCCAGCTTGCATGTCCCATGCTATTGCCTTCCTGGTGATGTTGAAAGGCCCAGCTAGTATGTCCCATGCTATTGTCTTCCTGGTGATGTTGGAAGCCCCTGCTTGTGTGTTCCATGCTGTTGCCTTGCTGTCTATATTTAAAGGCCCTTTCCAAGATTCCAAGAATAGTTCCCTTTCCATCGCTTCCTTTTTGTGATTTCTATTATTTTTAAATATATTTTAGTTCCCCTGTATATTATAATTACCCCCCACCCCCACCCCCCCCCCAATTCTTTGTTTCGTTTATTCTTATTTAATCCATTTGTCCCCCAAATCCGACACTTGGTATTCGTACGCTAATTGTTTATTTAAAGGCCCTTTCCAAGATTCCAAGAATAGTTCCCTTTCCATCGCTTCCTTTTTGTGATTTCTATTATTTTTAAATATATTTTAGTTCCCCTGTATATTATAATTACCCCCCCCCCCCACCCCCCCCCCAATTCTTTGTTTCGTTTATTCTTATTTAATCCATTTGTCCCCCAAATCCGACACTTGGTATTCGTACGCTAATTGTCAAGGCATTCGAGTCCGGAGTCTTTATCTACAACTTGGAATATTTCAGTTTAATTAGTTTTCAAAATGTCCGATATGCTACCTGACCCTAGTTTGTATATATCCGATCGTTCTTATATAACTTTTTAAAAATATTTTTTTTAAAAATCAATGGAAATTAATTTTTTCATCAATTTTATTGATTGAGATAAGCTCCAAAGGCTCCACCAGTCAAATCGTTGGCTAGGATTGGATCACCGGAAGTGCATGGCGCTGATGTCAGTGCAGCCACCAGAACATACTCGTTGGTGTCGAATGATTTACAGTATATTGGCGTGCCGAAGTCTCCCTGTGGCAAAAGAATATTTGAAATACATTTTAATTTATAATCAAATTGTCTATTTAAAAAACGAGGTGAATAACTAAACTAAATCTAAGAATTAAAAAATGTGGAAAAAACTATTGGTTTTTATGTTGACACAAAGATCCAAAAAGGATGTTCAGAAATGCTTAGAACTAAGAACTGTTGCCAGTTAAGCGTCAAGTCTTGTCACGGAACGTCATGACTTACAGTGTTACGTCCCATATAGTAATGTTGAGTCATGTTACGTCATGTCCGGTCGTGTTACATCATGATTGGACATGTTCTGTCACGCCTGTTCGAGCTACGTGATGTCTAGACATGTGAACTCACGTTAAGTCCTGTTTGGTCATGTAACCCTGTCACGCAAGGTCTAGTTGTGTAAAGTCATGTCTAAGTCATGGTATGTCACTTACTCCACACGACGAGTCGTCTGATCCCATGCAGACGACTTGTGATGTCGAATGAACCATGGTTTCCGGGTAGGTCCCGTTCGCTTTGCTGACCGCATCAGTCAACACATCACAGCAGTTGGACGTCGTGATAGTCATTCTGTTGACAGCTCCGTAGTAATTATCTGTAGGACAAACAATAATCACTGATGTAGACAGTGCTGACACACCTTTAAGGCTAATGACACGTTGGACATGGCTCTAAGACTTGAATGCGTGGTTTGGCTAGGTTCGATTTGGCTCTAAGACTTGAATGTGTGGTTTGGCTAGGTTGGACATGGCTCTAAGACTTGAATGTGTGGTTTGGCTAGGTTGGATATGGCTCTCTAAGACTTGAATGTGTGGTTGGGTTAGGTTGGACATGGCTCTAAGACTTGAATGCGTGGTTTGGCTAGGTTTGACATGGCTCTAAGACTTGAATGCGTGGTTTGGCTAGGTTTGACATGGCTCTAAGACTTGAATGCGTGGTTTGGCTAGGTTGGACATGGCTCTAAGACTTGAATGCGTGGTTTGGCTAGGTTGGACATGGCTCTAAGACTTGAATGCGTGGTTTGGCTAGGTTGGACATGGCTCTAACACTTATAACTGTGTTTTTGCTACGATTTTTAGCTACAGTGGAGTAGGCAGAGTTTGTGGAGCTCCGGTGCGGTTCTTGATTTCCCTGCCTCCATTTAACGAAAGCTAAAACACATACAGAATACACATACCAAATAATCTGTATTAAGGATGTGAGTTGGACAAACATGCCTCCTGTAAGTGACCTCCCCCCCCCCCGCCCCATCCACACCCCGTGTACAAGGTAGTAAATGATGTTATCGTACACTAATCTAAAACATTGATCATGAAACATGTTTGATTCAGGTGTGTTCAAGTCTATTTTAACATTCATCGAACTTGTTTGGAAAAGTTTGAAAGCTTACAGTCACTGGCACTCTGTGTCCCATACCCGACCCCGAAACAGTCAGCAAAATTGACCCGTCCATCCATGGTGGAAGCCTCGTACACGCACGCGTGCTCTGGGCAGTCTGCAATATTCACAGGCTCCGGGAGCGGGATTTCTGCCATGCCGTTTCCTAGCTCTGTGTCTGAAAATGTACCAAGCAAACGAGGGCCGTTTTCACAGAGGAATGTATTCAATGAACTTCTAGAAGACATAGAAAGAAATATTTTAAGCTTGTCAATTGAAAGATACCAACTATTTGTGAATGTAAGATAATAAATGAAGGTCTGCGACTGCAAAAGTAGAAAAGATAATGAATGAAGGATTTTGAATTCAATAAGTTGTATTTTGATACCTCTTTAAGATTTCATAAAGTTATCCCCCAAATGATTAGATTTTATTATTTTTTTTTTTTTCAATTTAAAACTACCGGTAAAAAGAAAGGGGGAAAAGATAGAAAAATGGCGGACACAAGTCTCTTACATAAGGAAGGAAAAAAAGAAGGATAGATGTAGTGAATAAAAACAGGAATAGAGTAAAGCCATGCGATGATATGGATTCACTTTGTGACGTCATGTCCGTAGAGTCAACGTCCAAAATATTTCAATCCATTATTTACACACATTCGGTTTACTATTAATATACGCCATCATGGTTACCACTATTGAAAAGTTTGTAAATGGGACAGGTACACTGTTTAAAAGAAATACTATACATAGGGTTGACATCCGTCCCGAGATAACGGGACTGTCACCGTTATGGGCCTTATATTTAATTATATTAGTTAATATTTTTTACTTCATTTCTACACCCCCATCTCAGAGTGTCCCGTTGAGGTCCCAGCTAGATATGGCAACATTACAGATAGTCAACAAGGTGACAGTCTCTCTCCCCTAAGTAGCACTGCCCGCATTTATAATTGTGTGTGAAAAGAATGGTCTTAATCAGTGCTTGCCAAACTTTCAAGTTCAGCGGACCGTTACACGCGCTTCACACTGTACCATGGCCCGGTGCCAGACTAATTAAGTATTGTCTTCTTTTTTTTTTTGACCTTTAATACGTCATTATTTTTCTTTTTTAAATTTGTATCGATAGAACTCAGTTAACTATCACAATTAAATAATATGTTGTTTTTTTTTTCTTTCTTGTTTTGGATGTTTTAACATAGAAATATTCCATGGCGGCTTGATAACTCTAATTTGTTTTTAAAATCTCATTTTTTTGCATACGTATTATAAAACATAACATGTGTACGACTGCCACCACACAGCACAAAGATGGACATTGTCTATAACTATGCCAAGCACTTACAAGTGTAGCTTTCCTTTGTGATTACAATCTCCTGTAGTCCGCCACCGATGTTAATTACTTGAGCAAGATCCCTGAGGAGAAAAATGTTAAAATGATTAAGGTTGGTTACTTTCCCATCACTGTGCAAGCCAAATCAATCTCTCGTTGCGTAGCTAGGGTTACTGACCCTCTCCCCCTCCCCCCCCCAACGGTGGGCCAAGAACGCCACTCACCCGAATTTTTTTGTTCGTGGCTTACAACATTGAAAAAAAAAAGTGCCATTCGGTGCGGTCTGTCCTCGTAGCTAGGGTTACTGCCCCTCTCCCCCCCCCCCCCCCCAACGGTGGGCCAAGAACGCCACTCACCCGAATTTTTTTGTTCGTGGCTTACAACATTGAAAAAAAAAAGTGCCATTCGGTGCGGTCTGTCCCCCCCACCCCCCCACCCCCCCAAACACACCTATGATTGTGTTAAGATTATTTTGTCACAGACCCCTATATCTAAACAGATCATAACTATGTAAGATAGTGCTCTATTTTCAATGTCTAATTTTCAGAAGGGCAAACCTGTAACTGCCCACTCCCTGCGACCTAATCCACATCCTTTCGACATACTTACTGGACATCGAATACCTCACTGTAGTACGCAGCACAATCTATGGGCACCAGCAGTGTTGTCGTTGAACTCAGCACACCGGTACAAAGTATTGTACCTGTGGAGAGAATGGTGGGTGTAGTTCAGTGAAGAATTAATATTATTGCACGTATATTGGGACGGAATGGTCCATCTATTCTGGAATTACTGATATAGGGGTCAGTGTGCTCTTAAATGCATTACATTTTACTCTCAGCGCCCGAGTCTACATGCGTCTCAATTTTTTTCCATTGAAGTCTTGCCTGCAAAGAATTGAACAGGCATGCTGTAGTCCTGTACCGACCTTTCACTACTCGGGAATAGAGCTCTGGGGGCTTCTACTCCGGCGCCCCAATTCGTACAAACGAGCTTTTTCATCAGATTGAGCTTGGCGGGGAGTTCAGGTCTTGTACGAAAATGTGCTATTTGATCGACTTTGACTCCCCCCCCCCAACAAAAAAAAAAAACCAACAAAAAAAAAACAAAAAAAAAAACTCCGGCGCCCCAATTCGTACAAACGAGCTTTTTCATCAGATTGGGCTTGGCGGGGAGTTCAGGTCTTGTACGAAAATGTGCTATTTGATCGACTTTGACCCCCCCCCCCCAACAAAAAAAAAAAACCAACAAAAAAAAAACAACAAAAAAAACGGTTGCTTGTCCTATTTGAGAATGGCCCGACATGTATAGTGAGTAGACCGCCTCCTCGGTGTTAATTTGCTTAACAAATGGTTCTCTGGATGCCGAAAGATAAATTTAGAGTTGACATTTATTATCGCTCGTACTTATGTGATTGTGTCATTGTTATTTTGGGGGGGGGGTATTTAAAAAAAATGGTGGCAGAACAACAGAGAGATTTTAAAAAAGACTGCACATAGACAGCAAACGTGTTAAAATTGCCAGGAAATTATGGGTGTATATTGCGTCAACGGAAGAGGGCGTCTTATCGACATTAAGTTGTTTTTTTGTTGGTTTTTTTTGTAATGAGATTCACGCACATGCTCTCCAGACGGTGCCTCATTTGTCCCTATGAAGTGTGCGAGAAACATCCTTCAACAGTGGACATCACCAGTGCCTCCGTTCGTCCACAACATGTTAAAGGACATGTGTGCATTTTCGAACTGGATTCATGTTGGACGATGCCCGGCGGAGCCTTACGTGTAAACCATGATCGTGTATTATGATTATGTTGCTCAAGATTGTTACGGCTATAAGATATTTTTCGACGAAACTAACACTCGTTAACAGGTCGATCAAAGAAGTTGTTTTTTTGTTGTTGTTTTTTTCCCCCGTTGACAGAGCACCATTACAGAACCGTGTTGCTTGGTGCCCTAAAAGAAAAGACTCTCTCGTGGAATTTATTTTTCTTCCAAAGTTAAAAAAAAAAAATTAAAACACAGTTACCCTTTATATTAAATAACGTATGGGCGCCAATATTGCTCAACCATGCTTACTTTTTTACGTCGGTGGAAAGACCGATTTTGTTCAGCAGCTGCCTAGCATGTCATTCTTTTCGCGTATATTGTCACGTGACCGCCTGACATAATGCACCGTTGACACAACGCAAATACGAATTCAAGACGCGGGAGTTTCAGGACTTCTAGGGTGTTTCACGTGGTAACACTAACAAGACTTTTAGCACGTGGTAAAACTACACAAGACTTCTAGTTTGTGGCACGCGGTAAAGCTAAACATGACTTCTAATTTGTGGCACGTGGTAAAACTGCACAGGACTGACTCTTACCTCATCCCCCGAAATGAAGCTACCTCAACTAAGCAAAATAAGGAGTTCTACTTATACACGACCTACTTGTCTTGTTATCATAGATGGCGACAACACCCCCTACGTCACAGGCTCCTCCAGAAGCGCCATTCAGTAGACGCTTCACAGTGGATGTAGGCTGGGTATTCGTTGGGCACACTGAGAAGAAGAATATGCCAGGATATTTGTTATAGCGTAAAATTAGCAGGGCAACTCACAGGACCTTTAAATCCCTGATATTAGCTCCATATTTTTTATCGTTGCTGGCTGGAAAATCTTCGGTCGGCTAATCGACCTTACTCCCGTTTACCTATCGAGCCGAAAATTGGAACATACTCTAAGATACATAATAGATGACAACATATTCTTTCACATTTTCAGTCAACCCAAACCCCCAGAAACTCATTTTTTTTCAAGTTTTTCAAATGAAAGATGAACGAAATATGGTAACACTGATTTGACGAAATAAAATTACCCATAAATTCGCTAAATAACATTATTTAAAAAAAAAAAAATATCGCAAGTGTTTGGTCAGAAATATTTTCTTTTGTTTTTCTGAAATAGTAGTGTAAATAATTTTGCAGTGTAAAAAGGGGTTGGAGCATAACAATATTAATGTTGCTCGGTAGTGTGAAAAAAAAAAGTGCGATTGCAAGCCTTGGAGGGGGGGGGGGGCTACGAATTGGGGTTCTCAATCAAGTTGCTGGGTAGTGTGAAAAAAAAAAAGTGCGATTGCAAGCCTTGGAGGGGGGGGGGGGACTACGAATTGGGATTCTCAATCAAGTGCTTCACGTGTATGAATGGTTTGTCGCATTTCCAGCCCCCTCCCCCTTTTTTTCCCAAAAGCAGGATATTACAATGTATAACGATTTAACGTTAAAAAAAAAGGTGTTTTAGATTTGTTCGATTAATATAATTTTGTAACTGTTACCAATTTCTCCATCAAAGGAAAATTAAAATGAAATTGTGGACCAATTCTATGACATTAAATTTGTATTTGTTCATTTTAAATAAAATTACGCGAACCCACTGTTACCGAAGCTAGTTGGCTACTTTCTCAAACAATCATCATAAGCAAAGTAACAAAATGTGTTCAGGAACCATGGCTCTTACATGGAATAGGAGTTGTACTAGTCGTTGGTTCCTCTGTTGTTGTAGTCGGTTCCTCTGTTGTAGTAGTTGGTTCCTCTGTTGTTGTGGTTGGTTCATCTGTTGTAGTCGTTGGTTCCGCTGTTGTTGTGGTTGGTTCCTCTGTTGTAGTAGTTGGTTCCTCTGTTGTAGTAGTTGGTTCCTCTGTTGTAGTAGTTGGTTCCTCTGTTGTTGTAGTTGGTTCCTCTGTTGTTGTGGTTGGTTCCTCTGTTGTTGTGGTTGGTTCCTCTGTTGTTGTAGTTGGTTCCTCTGTTGTAGTCGTTGGTTCCGCTGTTGTTGTGGTTGGTTCCTCTGTTGTTGTGATAGGTTCCTCTGTTGTTGTGGTTGGTTGCTCTATTGTTGTGGTTGGTTCCTCTGTTGTTGTAGTTGGTTCCCCTGTTGTTGTGGTTGGCTCCTCTGTTGTTGTAGTTGGTCCCTCGGTTGAAGGGGTTGGTTCCTCTGTTGTAGTAGTTGGTTCCTCTGTTGTTGTAGTTGGTTCCTCAGTTGTAGTAGTTGGTTCCTCTGTTGTGGTAGTTGGTTCCTCTGTTGTTGTGGTTGATTCCTCTGTTGTAGTAGTTGTTTCCTCTGTTGTAAAGGTTAAATCCTCTGTTGTTGTGGTTGGTTCCTCTGTTGTAGTAGTTGGTTCCTCTGTTGTAGTAGTTGGTTCCTCTGTTGTTGTGGTTGGTTCCTCTGTTGTAGTAGTTGGTTCCTCTGTTGTAGTTGTTAGTTCCTCTGTTGTAGTAGTTGGTTCCTCTGTTGTAGTTGTTAGTTCCTCTGTTGTGGTAGTTGGTTCCTCTGTTGTGGTCGTAGGATCCTCTGTTGTAGATGTTTCTTCTGGCGTTGTGGTAGAATCTATAGGTTCAACTATAGGTAACTCAGTTGTGGTAAATTCCTCTGTTGTAGTAGTTGGTAGCTCTGTTGTTGTGGTTGGTTCCTCTTTTGTCGTGGTTGGTTCCTCTGTAGTTGTGGTTGGTTCTTCTGTTGTAGTAGTTGGTTCCTCTGTTGTTGTAGTTGCTTCCTCTGTTGTTGTGGTTGGTTCCTCTGTTGTAGTAGTAGGTTCCTCTGTTGTAGTAGTTGGTTCCTCTGTTGTAGTGGTTGGTTCCTCTGTTGTAGTCGTTGGTTCCTCTGTTGTTGTGGTTGGTTCGTCTGTTGTGGTAGTTGGTTCCTCTGTTGTTGTGGTTGGTTCCTCTGTTATTGTGGTTGGTTCCTCTGTTGTAGTAGTTGATTCCTCTGTAGTGGTAGTTAGTTCCTCTGTTGTAGTTGTTAGTTGATATGTTGTTGTTGTTGGTTCCTCTGTTGTTGCGGTTGGTTCCTCTGTTGTGGTAGTTGGTTCCTCTTTTGTAGTAGTTGGTTCCTCTGTTGTTGTAGTTGCTTCCTGTTTTGTTGTGGTTGGTTCCTCTGTTGTAGTCGTTGGTTCCTCTGTTGTTGTGGTTGGTTCCTCTGTTGTTGTGGTTGGTTCCTCTGTTTCCTCTGTTGTAGTAGTTGGTTCCTCTGTTGTAGTTGTTAGTTCCTCTGTTGTGGTAGTTGGTTCCTCTTTTGTAGTAGTTGGTTCCTCTGTTGTTGTAGTTGCTTCCTCTGTTGTTGTGGTTGGTTCCTCTGTTGTAGTCGTTGGTTCCTCTGTTGTTGTGGTTGGTTCCTCTGTTGTTGTGGTTGGTTCCTCTGTTGTTGTAGTTGGTTCCTCTGTTGTTGTTGTTGGTTCCTGTGTTGTTGTGTTTGGTTCCTCTGTTGTTGTGGTTGGTTCCTCTGATGTTGTTGTTGGTTCCTCTGTTGTTGTGGTTGGTTCCTCTGTTGTAGTAGTTGGCTCCTCTGTTGTGGTAGTTGGTTCCTCTGTTGTAGTTGTTAGTTCCTCTGTTGTAGTAGTTAATACCTCTGTTGTTGTAGTTGGTTCCTCTGTAGTAGTAGTTGGTTCCTCTGTTGTCGTGGTTGGTTCCTCTGTTGTTGTGGTTGATTCCTCTGTTGTAGTAGTTGGTTCCTCTGTTGTAGTTGTTAGTTCCTCTGTTGTGGTAGTTGGTTCCTCTTTTGTAGTAGTTGGTTCCTCTGTTGTTGTAGTTGCTTCCTCTGTTGTTGTGGTTGGTTCCTCTGTTGTAGTCGTTGGTTCCTCTGTTGTTGTGGTTGGTTCCTCTGTTGTTGTGGTTGGTTCCTCTGTTGTTGTAGTTGGTTCCTCTGTTGTTGTTGTTGGTTCCTGTGTTGTTGTGTTTGGTTCCTCTGTTGTTGTGGTTGGTTCCTCTGATGTTGTTGTTGGTTCCTCTGTTGTTGTGGTTGGTTCCTCTGTTGTAGTAGTTGGCTCCTCTGTTGTGGTAGTTGGTTCCTCTGTTGTAGTTGTTAGTTCCTCTGTTGTAGTAGTTAATACCTCTGTTGTTGTAGTTGGTTCCTCTGTAGTAGTAGTTGGTTCCTCTGTTGTCGTGGTTGGTTCCTCTGTTGTTGTGGTTGATTCCTCTGTTGTAGTAGTTGGTTCCTCTGTTGTAGTTGTTAGTTCCTCTGTTGTGGTAGTTGGTTCCTCTTTTGTAGTAGTTGGTTCCTCTGTTGTTGTAGTTGGTTCCTCTGTTGTTGTGGTT